TTTTTTAAACTTCTCTCAGTGCTATGCATATGCCAATTTTATCTTTCTTCTCCTTCCTCTTCCTCTTCCCCTTCTCTTTCTTCTGATTAATTTGTTTGGTTACTTGGGGGATGAGATCAAGGAATAGAAATACATGATCTAAGTGGTGGTTCAATGCTAACTTTAAGAAAAGAGAATAATTTTGTTCAGTTTGTTGTCTGATGTGCTATGTGGACATTTAAAAACCTGATAAGCTAGACAGTGACTAAATGGCGACGCTGATTATGCAAAAGACTAGATCACTGTGCTCATAGCATTATAAAACTCCTTATGACACAGGAGAAATACTTCAATGGTTGCTAACATTCACTAAGACCTCTAAGCCTTTCCCAGGTGAGACAGAGAAAGCATCCCACTCAGAAAGGAACAAAACGCAACATGTTAGATGGCTGACTACAGACACCATTCTGCACACTCCCGGCTCTGGAGTCGAGCAGCTAGCTGACCCTTTGGGCTTCTCATCGGCGGGGCAGCGAGAAGCCCTGCGGATCTGTACCTGTATGTGTCCTTCGGTGAGCCTTCAGGTGAGAACTTTTTGTGTACACTTTGTTGCATCCCTCAAAATCACATCTGTGGATACGCCGTTTTCTGGAGTCTGGGGATTCCGACCGTCTCTGGCGTCTTGTGCTCTCAATACTAAACGGTGAAATTGAACTGGAAAGAGAGAAAGTGGCGTCACATAGTAAGACACACAGCACTCTGCTTTGGCTCTAGTGGCATGAGGTCTCAACCTTATAGTCTATAGCTGCATATACACTCAACCCCATTGTCCACATTTCCTGCTGTCACTTTCTCTGACAAGTTTCATTTCTTACTCTTGAAGGCAGGTGGCGTGACCTATTTCTGGTGAAACACATGAGAGAAAGACATGCTTAGAGCAACAATAGTAAGACGAAATTAAGTACTACATGAGAGCAGTGGTGGGTGAGTAGATCTCCGTTATCAAATAAGAAATAATCTGACAGTGATAAAATTATACCTCAACGTTTTAGACTTCGGAATCCACTTACAGAGAACATTTCAGGAAGCCCTGCTATAGACAAATGACCAAAATAAACGCATTCAATAAGGAACATGATGGTCTGAATTGCATGTGACAAAACAGAAAATTGTGCAAAATCACGATGTACATTTCAAAACAAGTGAGGTTGGGCTGAAAGAAGTGACATCAGTACATCAATTACATGACTCATGACAAGCTATTTCTGTTCAGTCAAATGTACCTGACGTTTAACTTTTCCAGTTGTTGGTTTTTCACAGTGAGGAATAAAGTGCATTGTATTCAAAGATTAGCTGTACCACCGCTAAGAAAAAAAGTTTTAACTGTGAATTTGGCCCTGACTTGCACGTTGTTTAATCTTAATGCCACAGTCGAAAAACAGGATTAGTTTGTAATGTCAGGCAATTGATTAACATGTACTTCTTGAAACCTTAATCTCTTTTGATTGAAATAGAAATGAAGAACATGACTCATCTTTTTTGTTATTCATCAAGTTTTTCAAATTACAGTGAACTATAATGAAACACTTCTACTATCCTATACACCACACTTCTGCTACAAAAAAATGTACCACTCTTGATATTTTCATATAGTTTCTTCCAGGTTTTCCATGTTTTGATACTTTTAAATTTTACTCTCCCTTCACAGAAATTCGTAATATTGTTTTGTGTTTTTTAAGAGACATATAACTAATATCATTTTGTTCACATCATTCTGCAAATTTTCTTCACTCAACATTAAGCATTTGATTTCTATCCATGTTGATAACAAACACTGTAGTTAACACTGTAGTAAACACTGAAGTGTTATATATCACAATTCATCTGAAAAACTTAGAACAGGGGTTGGTAAACTGTTCCTGTAAAAAACTAGATAGTAAATATTTTATTTGGACTCTGACAGTCATGCAGTGGATGTTGTAACAAGTCAACTCTGCAACTGTAGCATGAAAGTAGCTACAGACAAAATATAAACAAATGAGTTTGCTATGTCCAAAGAAACTTTATTTACAAAACAAACAGTGAGCTGTATTTGATCCATGGGCTGTAGTTGGGCGACACCTGACTTAGAATATGGTAGCAGACCAACGACTATTCATCCCAGAGTTTTTAAATCTATTTCCTAAGTGATGGCCATGTCGGTTATTTCTAATATTTCACTATAACA